AGGAGTCAGCAAATCACACACTACGCCGTACCACCCAATGGGCAATGGTCAGGCAGAGCGTTTTAACAGAACGCTGGGAAATATGATTCACGTACACTCCCGCCTAGGTCCAAAGCCAAATGGCTGTAGTTGTTGAACACTCTAGCTTTTGCATATAATTGCACTGTGCACGAGACCACTGGCTTCCCGCCATTCTTTCTCATGTTTGGTCGTACCCCCCGTCTGCCGGTTGATGTCATGTTCGAGAGCGTCCTCTTGGATAATGCAACAGTCGATGTAGATAGGTATGTTCAATCTTTGGGGAAAGACCTAAAGGAAGCCATGTCATTGGCACAGCAGCATGCAGAGCGGCAACAGAACAAACAAGCTGAAAACTATAATCGCAACTGTAAGGGCCAGTCACTAGACCTGGGAGACCGAGTTCTTCTTGTGAGTAAAGGCGAGAGAGGCAAAAAGAAATTAGCTGATCGCTGGGAGAACACAGTTTATGTGGTGGTGGGCAAGAATGACTCACTGAACATTTACAGGATTCGTAATCCTAGTACAGGACGGACTAAAACTGTTCATCGAAATTTACTAATGCCAGTGAATTTCCTACCAGTACCTTTGTGGGGTGAGTCTGGAAGTCAGAACTCCTACAGCACAGACAGTATAAGCCTTAACATGTCAGCGAATGATGATCGGAGTGATTTGTGTGGTGACAGTACAACCCAATGGGTTGAGGATTTACAGGACACTCCAGAGGTGGGACAAATTGAGGATGCAGAGGACTGGTGCGAAGAAAGAGGGAGAGGCAGTCTTGATTTTGAAGATGGGGCAGGAACTCAACAAGAGGGCGATCAGGATGACCCAGTCATAGGTCTGGATGAAACAACCTCTACCTGGTCTGCGGAAATTTCTCAGAATCAACCCCACTCATTGTCATGTCATGGTGACACTGAACATGTTGAGATTAGCTCTAAAACCATTAGGTCCCGTGAAAACGTGGTATCTACAGTCGCAATAGTAGACACTTTGCCTTCAAACACTCTAGAGCCACTTTCAGCTTCCTCTAAGGTTACTCAAACTGATAAAATGCGCACCAGGCTCGGAAGAATCATTAAACCAGTAAATAGACTCATCCAAACTATGTCTGTGCAAAACCTTAAACAAATAGTAAACTCTCATTAATGGGGTTTTGAAATGGGTTATTATTTATTTATTTTTCTTTTCTTTCACATAAAAACCTACATAGAGTAATCTTTGGGAAGGAAAAGTCTTTTTCAGATTGTGGTGTCTGACATTTTGGACACGCAGTGATAACTAGTGCTGCAGTCTACATTTAAAACTATGTACATGGCATTGTTTTCTATAGCCAAGCTGGGGATTAGCTACCCCTGGTTTGTCTTAGTCCTTAATGGGACAGCTTTATGGCTGAGTAACCACTCCTGGTTTTATGGTGAGGGACTACATCCTAGTTTTGGGAATTTAGAAATGATCTGTTTTCATTAGCGCATATATTGGAAGGTGACTATTGTACAGAAGAGTGCTGTAGATGGCTAGTTCATAATCTATTGTAAAACAGTGGGGGTGAATGTGGCAGTGTGATGTTGTTACACTAGATTGTTCACTTCAGGGATTTTATTTTGAAATCAGCAAGGGCTTTTAACTGTTGGAGCATTCATTGAGGAGAGAAAGGGGGACTATTAAATGTAAAATTCTTTCTGTAAATTTCTTAGTTTTAATTATTTTATTGTTTCTTTTGTCTACCGCAAATTATTTAGCTTGAGGAATATATAACAGAGAGAAGTCTGATTTACTAGAGCAAGTTCAATATGGGCGGAGTTTTAGCAGCCATTACGTGAGTGGAGTACGAAGTAGGTTGTAGCCCCACCTTTCGTCCTCTTTGGAAAACGCCACGGTGAGAGGAGGTATGTGCTGGTGCAGCTCCGTAATTTTGAGTTAAAACACACTTTGTATTTTCCCGTTTTCGACATAAAATGAGTTCATTCAGTCACAAAAACAATATGTCACACACTGGTTATGCTGTTGTGCAGTTAAAACACTGTTTTATGAGGTTTTAGTACGTTTTCTTTATTCGCTGTTGGCCACGAGCTCTGTTAAGGTGGAATGTTAAGGTGGAATGCTAGTCGTGAAGTTAGAGTATGGATGCTAATTGTTCACAGGATATTTCTTTTGCTCAATATGACAAGATTAAACCGACAGTGTATGCATTTGGTTGTTTGTAAAGAAGAGCTGTAACTTTTATTCATAATTTTAGGGTTGTATAGTTCGTGTAGTGTAACAGCTTTATTGTGATATGAGTGCATGGTGTTTAACAGGCGCTGCTGAGAGCACGAGAGAGAGAAAAGCTAATGAAGCCTGTTTATTCGCCTTTTGTAAACTCTGTGCAGGTATGTTGAGTTACATTGTCAAATATATGTTAATCTTTTATTGTTCAGTAAAGGGGGAGCATGTACATCTTACAGGTCACTTTATATGTATTTTTTTATTATTATTTTCTTTTAATGTATGATTGATGAAATCTCTCTTTGGAAAACGCCACTGTGAGAGAAGGCGCTGCTGAGAGCACGAGAGAGAGAAAAGCTAATGAAGCCTGTTTATTCGCCTTTTGTAAACTCTGTGCAGATGGGGAAAATAAATGCTCCCTCATGTTAAGCTGGTGTGCTGATGTCATCACTTCGTTCATCATCTAACCCTACACAACGCAGAAGTCAACCCGTTACATAAAGAACCCTTAAAGAACCACCTTTATTAAGGGTGCATGTTGTAAGAACTAAAACAGGACAGAGTAATATGAGGTCATTTGAGTTGTGATCAGATGGGGAACCAGTTCATACAGATGTGTGTATCTGTGGTCAGGTGGTTTTTATACATGCAGTTCATTTTTAGCTGAAGGTGTTTTTTCCATTTTACAGTACTGAATTAAATGTAGCAGCAGCAGCAGCAGCAGAGTGTAGAAGAGGCTGGAGAGGAGCTGAACACTAAAGCAGCTGAGAGAGGACAAGAACTGACCATGAAAGAAACAGAAACAGGAGAGGAGGTGAGAGCTGGAGCAAAGGGACAGAGGGAGACAGGACGACATACTGTAATATGGACATTAGTGTTCTGAATATATGGAGCTCCAGCAGATACAGATAGATTTATTTAATCAGCTGGTAATTATACATGCACTTCATTCTTTTAGATAAAGATATTCACATTTTTAGTTTGAACTGATAAACTGTTTTACAGTCTATAGTGGAGGCGCTCTGGACTCTAGAGGACAGGCTAAGTGACCATGTGACCATGTAAAACGGGCCGTGGGCTCAGCCCCTGATGTTGGTACAGTCTAGTCACGGCCCTGTGTTGAACTGTGTACTGTGTTCTTTAGCCTTTAGCTAAAATTAGGACTCTGAACATTTTAAGCTCACAAACAGCAACTTTTACTTTTGCTTGTGGAGAAATTCAGCTAAAGTATCTCTGAATATGAGGTTTAGTCTGTCATTTAATGCCCACAGTTACTGTAGAGCTTAGTCTTCATGTTTCTCATAGCTGACGTTATTTATTAGTGCTGGCTAATCGTGAGCTTATTTCTAACACTAACTGTTATCTGACCAACTATAACACGTAGGTCACAATGTCTCTGTGCAGTGGGTACGAGTGTCCTACTGAAAAGATCTGCTTCCTTTAATCCAGGAGTCCAGTAGCACAGCATGCTGCTCCAGCACTGTTCCAGCTGGTGGAGCCCCAAAGCTACCATGCTGGATCATCTGCTTGTGGTCAGTGTGTCCATCTTCTCCTCCTCCACTGACACGCACTTTTCTGGTGGATTTAAAGGAAATAAAGCACTACAGGTGAGTTCTTCAGTCTCAGTTCTGGAGCAGCTCTGCACTGCACAGTTTAGTGTTCTCTCTGCTACAGCAGCTCTGAGCTAGAGGGCTTTTAAACACGCTTTAATGAAATTCTACCCAAACCAGGACATCATTACTGAACTGGACTGAGTGTTCACCTGGTCTGAGTTTATTCAGAATGTTAGAGTATTTTAATTGGTTATATGCCAGAACCAGAACATCTCATACTGAAAATATAAACAAAGCTAGAACTTCACAACATGTATCAAGTCTTTTCACACAGAGCTCTTTGTAAAAAAGTTCTACTTAGCACCATACACAACACATTCTCCAGCAATCTGTAGAACCATTTCACCATGCAAAGAACCATTTAAGCACAAAATGGTTCTATATAGATCTCAAGAACTGACCATGAAAGAAACAGAAATAGCAGAGGAGGTGAGAGCTGGAGCAAAGGGACAGAGGGAGACCGGACAACATACCGTAATATGGACACTGGTGTTCTGATTATATGGAGCACCAGCAGGACATCTTTACTGAAATGGAATGGGAGATTTCTTAGTTGTAATACTTTTATCTTGAATTTTACTAATATTTTATTTAGAATATAATGGTATTTTTAATTGGTTGTATGCCAGAGCCAGAACATCTCATACTGAAAGTGTAAACAAAACCATAACTTCACAACATGTATCAAGTCTTTTCACATAAAACTCTTTGTATGATTTTGATTGTCACCGTATCTCCAGCCATTCCTTCAGCTGCATAATGAATGAAGTAAATCCCAGTCATGTTTATGATTAAGCTATGCAACTTGCAGTTGGAGTGTTTGTGTTGTGTACAGCAGTCTGCGAGTTTGAGAGAAAGTCAGGGCTCAAAGGATGTACATAAGGAACATTTTATGGATTTTATTTTGACATTCTGTGGAGTGAAATTGTTTAATAAAATATGTAAACAGTGGATCATTTAAACGTCACTCACTTTGGGACTCAGTCGCTGTTGTGAGTGAAATGATAAAGCTGTAAGTAAGTCTTACACACAGGTAACCTAGAAAGTTCCTGTGTTCACTAAGGACAGACTGTTCAGCCAGGTAGGTGAAGAGAGCTCTGTGATTGGTCTGAAAACTCATCACTCCACCCTCTTCAACCTGTAAAAAGGCTTCCAGCACTTCCTCCTGTGGTGACACTGTAATCCAGTCCAAACCAGTTTAACGTGAAGGTGAAATCTTTAGTGTTCTTTTACTGCAGAGAACATAAACAGCAACAGGAGAGGAAATACAGAGGTAATTATTTTAGAATTCAAGCTTTAACCACCAGAATTTACTCTAACTTGATGACTAAAGACATTTCAGAGACCCAGAGAGAAACTATACTTCACAGAGACACTTTCAGGTAAATCTGACTGCTTCTGTGTGTGTGTGTGTGTCTCTGTGTGTGTGTGTGTGTGTGTTCAGGATTCAGTGTGATCTGAAGGAGGAGAGATGACCTCCAAAATGAGTCTCTCTGAGGAACAGGACACACAGGAAGCTGAGAGGTGAGAGAATAATGTGATCTGGTGTGAAGTGAGTTTGTTCTCTAGTTCACCACCATGTAAGACAGTTTGTCTGGTATTGTTTGTGTTTTAGACTGAATCAGGGTGAGAGATCTGACTCACCTGCACCCAGCTGTGTGTCCATGAAGAGTGACCAGTCAGAGGACAGATTAATAGGGTTCAGAGAGGATAATAAATCTACTGATCTCAGGTAAGAATGATGTGAAACTGAAGAATTAGATGTAAAGATGCTCTACATAAAGATGCATAGAGTAAAAAAAATGTTTTACTGCATGCAGCTCTTCATTTCATGTGGTGCATAACATTGAATGTAAAATTTAAAATATACTGTATATTGATATTGATACTGCTGTTGTAATTTATTGTATATTGTTACACTGCAAAAAACATCTTAATAAGTAAAATCATCTAAAGTCTAGTTAATCGAAATATCAGATCGGTTTAAGATTATTTACATTACTTTCTGATATTCTTTGCATGTTTTGCACACAAATTAATGTGTTACATGTTTTGTGATCAAATGAAATGATTTCATTCTATTTGCAAAAAAAAAATGTTTTTTTAAGTATATATAAAAATTTAAGATGATTTCACTTATCAGGATATTTATTTTATTCATATTTTGTTGACTGGTGATCTGATCATGGCTGTCATTGTCACTACTTGGTAGATTAACAGGTGCTGTCATTAGGAAAGTGGGGTTTTATTCAGTTTTGATTGGTTGTTTCAGTTCTGGATAGAATTTACAGTCAAATTAAGATATTAAACTTGATGTTGTGAGTCATGTTCTCAGCTAACACATGTCAGTGTCAGCTGTTACAGTTCTGCTCTAACATTCATTGTATGTTATATCTTGCACAGTGTGTGTAACTGCAGTTGAATTCATGTCTTGTCATGTAAGATGATTTTATGTGCTGTTCAGGTTCTCCTGAATATTTTACCAAAGAAATGTAATGTTTTCCAGCAGAGTCCAGGAGGAGAAACCAGACACTACCAGAAAGATGGAGTCAGTGATCAAGGTAAGTGTGTGTGTGTGTGTGTGTGTCTGTCTGTCTGTCTGTCTGTCAGTATAACATTAGAATACAAACATCTTGAGTACCTGTGCTGATGTAGGATAGTAGTGGTTAAGTAATATAAGTAAAATATTGGAGAAATAAAAATAACAGCACAATTTCAAAGACGAGAAAATGAGCCACAGTTTTCCGAGACATATGCTAATCTAAATAAACGTCTCTAATCTGATTTTAAAACAATAACAAGGATTCATTTAATTTTCATTTAAAGCGGTATTATAGATGAAGAGAGAAATATAATGTTTACCTTGTAGTAATGGGCAGTGATTTTGAGTTCTGCTTCTTATAATATGATATTCTACAATACACTATCACTATGACAGGCACTCTGGAAGAACACTCCCTTTTCCAAGACATATTTCATTGATTTTCTAAGTGAAAATAAGTTAATATATCCTTAACAGGGAACACACTTAAATATGGTATTTCTTTCTGCAAATTTTAGTGCACAGTTTTATTTATTTGCATAGGTGAATATTTTGGATAAACATACAGTATAAAAAGTGCCATAAATTTTGTAAAGGCCACATTTTATATTTGTTTTTCCTCAAGTAACTTCATTAAGCAAATAAACATTGATTCTGCATTGCTCCTTCTGCCGTGATGGATGAAGGACTGTATCATAGATCAGAGCGAGACAGCAGTGGGAGTTTGTCAAAGCAAAGCTGACCCGCATCTCTCAAAATGTCTGAGAAGTGTTTTGACAAAATTTCTGTAGCGGTATTTCATAGTGTTCGCGATAATGTTACCATGCATGATCAATATCACGGTAGTCCGAATTACCAAATACCGGCACATGTTTAGATGTGAACGTGAACTGAAGCTCTTGACCCACTTCTGCAAGATTATATACATTGTGCTGCTGCCACACGATTGGTTTACTGGATAATTGATAACTGCCTGACTTAGCAGGTGTGCAGTTCCTAATTAAGTGGCCTACACTACCCCTGGCTAGTTAACTAACTAACCCTACACTAGTTAATGCTTAAGACCCCATTTCTGCTCCTGTTTATTTTCAATCAGGAGCTGGAGCACAAAGTCATCTCTCTGGTAAAGAATCAGCTGAAGAGGTTTGTGAAGCTCCTGAATCTGGATTACCCAGAATGCTCTGAGAGAGAGGTGGAGGATGAGGAGGATCAGAGTGTCAGAGAGGGGGCGCTGAAGATCACACTGCATGTCCTGAGGAACATGAACCAGACAGACCTCGCTAACAAACTACAGACCAGTAAGAGATCATGTGATTATTCATTATGTACATAAATTTACTGAGTTTAAATTATGATAGTAAAATATTGTTAATTACATTCATCACAGCTGAACTGTAATTTTACAACTTTGTGAACATCCTGGAACTCAATATTAATTATTACTGTTTAACCCATTTACTCATTATTTTTTGTTATTTCTTTAGAACTTCCTTCTTCCTGTCATAAAAAGCTCAAATCCACACTGAGCGAAAAATGTCAGAAAATTAATGAAGGAATTTCGAATCCTGGAACCTCAACACTTCTGAATGAGATCTGCACAGAGCTGTACATCACAGAGGGCGGGAGTGGAGAGGTCAATACAGAACATGAGGTCAGACAGATTGAAACAGCATCCAGGAGACCAGCAACACAGGAGACGCCCATCAAATGCAACGACATCTTTAAAGACAAACCCATCAGAACTGTGCTGACTAAAGGAGTCGCTGGAATTGGAAAAACAGTCTCTGTGCAGAAGTTCATTCTGGACTGGGCTGAAGGAAAAGCCAATCAGGATGTTCTCTTCATATTTCCACTTCCTTTTAGGGAGCTCAATTTGACGAAGAAAAAGCTCAGTCTTTTAGCTCTTCTTCATCATTTTTTTACAGACATAAAAAAATTAAAACACGGAGATTATTATAACTATAAAGTCATGTTCATCTTTGATGGTCTGGATGAATGTCGGCTTCCTCTAGATTTCCAGAACAATGAGAGTGTATTTGATGTCAGACAGTCAGCTTCAGTGGATGTGCTGCTGACTAACCTCATCAAGGGGAATCTGCTTCCCTCTGCTCTCCTATGGATAACTACTCGACCAGCAGCAGCCAGTCAGATCCCTCCTGACTGTATTAACGAGGTAACAGAGGTACGAGGGTTCAGTGACCCTCAGAAAGAGGAATACTTCAGGAAAAGGATCAGTGATCAGAGCCTTGCTGAAAGAATCATTACACACACGAAGTCCTCAAGAAGCCTCTACATCATGTGCCACATCCCAGTCTTCTGCTGGATTGCAGCCACTGTTCTAGAGAGGATGTTGGGTGAAGCAGAGAGTGGAGAGATCCCCAAGACTCTGACTCAAATGTTCACACACTTCCTGATCTTTCAGATCAAACACAGCAGCCAAAAGTACCAAAGAAAAAGTGACCTTGATCATAAACAGACTAGAAAGATGATTCTGGCACTGGGAAAACTGGCTTTCCAACAGCTGGAAAAAGGAAACCTGATCTTCTATGAGGAAGACCTGAGAGAGTGTGGCATTGATGTCAGAGAAGTGTCAGTGTACTCAGGAGTGTGTACTCAGATCTTCAGAGAGGAGTTTGGGCTGCACCTGGGGAAGGTTTTCAGCTTTGTGCATCTGAGTGTTCAGGAGTTTCTGGCTGCTTTATATGCATTTCTTTACTTCATCTCAAAGAAAGAAAATGTAGTACCTGGATTGGAAGATTTGTTCAGAAAGTCAACCATGTCTGATTTCCTCAAGACTGCAGTGGACAAGGCCTTACAGAGTGAGAATGGACACCTGGATCTTTTCCTCCGCTTTCTTCTGGGTCTCTCACTGGAGTCCAGTCAGACTCTCTTACGAGGTCTACTGACACAGACAGAATACAGCTCTCAGAGCACAAAAGAAATAGTCCAGTACATCAAGGAGAAGATCAGAGAGAATCCATCGCCAGAGAAAACAATCAGTCTGTTTCACTGTCTGAATGAACTGAATGATCATTCTCTACTGCAGGAAGTTCAAACATACCTGAACAGAGGAGGTTCCAGTGGTCTCAGTGGAGCTAAGCTCTCTCCTGCTCAGTGGTCAGCTGTGGCGTTTGTGATGCTGAATTCAGAAGAGGAGCTGGATGAGTTTGACCTGAGCAAATTTGACAAATCAGAGGAATGTCTTCTGAGGCTGCTGCCAGTGGCCAAAGCATCCAGAAAAGTTGTGTGAGTATTTTTTGTTGCTCTGTTGTGAACTGATTTATTGATGTTTTCCTGTTCTTTACATTATATGTATTACTATATGTATGTGTTGGTCTTTGTTTTTACTGAAAAGTTTCACTCCTAGGCTGCGCAACAGAATCAAATGTGTCTATTTAGAATTTTTATATTTCGCATAATATTTATTATGTTTTTTAAGCTAATAATGTGTGAGGACACATGCATCTATGGAAAATCTATTGCTCACACATTTTGGAATTTCTTTATTTGTCAAATCTCATATCTTAGCAATACGAGTATCTAATGGGATTAAAATACGGTTGGGTTTTAAACAATACAATTAGGTGTAAAAAATAATGAATAGAATCTGAAATTCTTTAAATATCTTAGACAAAAATAGAAAAGTAACATTTAAATGAAACTCTCTCCAGTCTGTGCTGTACTTTCACTCACCTTCCTCTACTGTTGACACTCTGCACTGACTGAACTGGACAGACTTGTTGGATATTACAGTAATAATCCCTGAACACAGAAGATCCCCAACAACAGGAAATAAGAGAATAGATTTCCCTTTATAAAGGATGCAGACTTTGTTTTGTTGACTTTCTCACTTAACGTAAGTTAACATGTTAACAAATTAAAAACATTTATTATTGATGAATTGTTATTATTATAACAATAATAATAATAATAATAATTCTTCTTATTATTATTATTATTAAGAATTTTTATCATAATTTTTTCTTTGATTTGATTGGTGTGTGTGTGTGTGTGTGTGTGAGAGTGTGAGTGTTTGTGTGTGTGAGTGTGAGTGTTTGTGTGTGTGTGTTTGTGTGTGCATGTGTATGTTTGTGTTTGTGTGCATGGGTGTGTTTGTGTGCACAATTATGTGTGTGTTTGTGTGTGTGTGTTTGTGTGTGTGAGTGCGTTTGTGTGTGTGTGCGTTTTTGTGTGTGTTTATTTGTGTGTGATTGTGTGTGTGTGTTTGTGTGTGTGTTTGTGTGTGTGTTTGTGTGAGTGTTTGTGTGTGTGAGTGTTTGTGTGTGTGAGTGTGCGTTTGTGTGTGTGTGCGTTTTTGTGTGTGTGATTGTGTGTGTGTGTTTGTGTTTGTGTGTGTGAGTGTTTGTGTTTGTGTGTGCGTTTTTGTGTGTTTGTGTGTGTATGTTTATGTGTGTATGTTTATGTGTGTGTGTTTGTGTTTGTGTGTGTGTATGTGAGTGTTTGTGTGTGTTTATGTGTGTGTGTTTATGTGTGTGTTTGTGTGTGTGTGTGTGTGAGTTTGTGTGTGAGTGTGAGTGTTTGTGTGTGTGTGTGAGTGTGTGTGAGTGTGTGAGAGTGAGTGTGTGTGTGTGTGTGTGTGAGTGTAAGTGTTTGTGTGTGTGTGTGTGTGAGAGTGTAAGTGTTTGTGTGTGTTTGTGTGTGTGTGTAAATAATCTAATATTTTTTTTTTAAACTGAAGTTATTTAAAAAGATAACATGCAGGATCATCTGAACGTGGCATGTTCCTCATAACCGTACCTGAACTCCTATCTGAGAGGTGAATAACATCTCAGTTTATCTTTGTGCTCTGCGAATGGTGCAGTTCTAGCAATCTGACCCTAAATATTCCCAAAACCAAAGAACCGGTAGTTTGACTTTTGCAAAGGAGAAAAGGCTCCAAAGCTCATCATCCTGATCATTAAAGAGTAACTACACCCCACTGTTTTCAGCTGACTCCACTCCTGGCTGGGCTGCTGTGTTTATAGCTATCAGTAAATATGCAGAGACAGAATCAAACAGCACTTTTGCAACTTCAAGATCTTACAGGGTTGAAGATTTTTCTCCACTACCGTCCCCATCTTCATCAAGAGAAGGTGTTTCTGATCAGGCGGTGCATCTTCAGCCTTAACAGTATGAGCCACTGACTCAAACCACTGATGTAACATAGTGCTCGAAAAATGAGGGGCAGAGGTGCAGAACAGTAGAACATTCTCCAAAAACAAGACAGCTAGCTTCTAATGATCTGTTCAGCAGGTCCATATTCAATATAACTTGAGTCCTGATTTCTTAGATGTACTGAATTCTGAATTAATAAATAGACTTTCTTTGAACCTGAAAAACATACTTCTATTAGGCCATAAGCAGGATTGGGATAGCTACTGAAAAATTAGTAGTTAGCTATTTTCTAGCTACTTTTCTAAAATGTGTAGCCAGCTACAATTTAGCTACTTTTCCAGAAAGAGTAGTGGCTACGTTTAGCTACTTTAAGAGCACGATTGTCTGAATGTTTGTTAATCTCTACCTGATACACCAAACTGACAGTGTGAACAAGACACCGCATTTAATCATGTGCCAGACAGAATCATACAATTGAAAAGCTGCAAATATACAAAAAGATAAAAACCAAAACCAAGACTAAAAAGTGTAACCAACAATGAAACTTACACAACCAAAGGTGTGATATCCAACAAAAATTTAGACAAAAGGCAAATTCAATCATTCCAGGTTTTTCCTAATAAAAAAATCAACCAAAATAACCGAATATAAACCAGAGAATTAAGTGCAAAGCATTGTGAACTGTTGAAATAAAACTGCTCCAATTTAAACATTTCAGCAAGATACACCAATCAGCCATAACATTATGACCACCTCCTTGTTTCTACGCTCATTGTCCATTTTATCAGCTCCACTTACTATATAGGTTCACTTTGTAGTTCTACAGTTACAGACTGTAGTCCATCTGTTTCTCTGCATACTTTGTTAGCCCCCTTTTACCCTGTTCTTCAGTGGTCAGGACCCCCATGGACCCTCACAGAGCAGGTACTGTTTGGGTGGTGGATCATTCTCAGCACTGCAGTAACACTGATGTGGTGGTGGTGTGTTAGTGTGTGTTGTGCTGGTCTGAGTGGATCAGACACAGCAGCACTGCTGGAGTTTTTAAACACCTCAGTGTCACTGCTGGACTGAGAATAGTCCACCCACCAAAAATATCCAGCCAACAGCGTCCTGTGACCACTGATGAAGGACTAGAGGATGACCAACACAAACTGTGCAGCAGCAGATGAGCTATCGTCTCTGACTTTACATCTACAAGGTGGGCCGACAAGGTAGGAGTGTCTAATAGAGTGGACAGTGAGTGGACACAGTGTTTATCAGTAAAAGGCTGGTTAAGTCTAAAGGCTAAAAACTACAATATCTATAAATACAATAACTAAGAATTACCAATAATAACTAAAAAGAACACTTAATAACACGGTAAATGTGATGAGATGATATGTATGGAAAACATCCAGAACGGCGCTGATGTTCTGCCTCACTCTAGGAGCAGAGTCATCTCTCGACATGACTCTGGGCACACGTCGGGCATCATCTGGGGCATAACGTTGGTTAGCTAATTTGCATACTGTGACACGTCATCCACACCTACAGCAGAGTTGAATCAGAGGTGGAACTGACCACGATAAAAATAATATTTTTACAGTTTGGAAAAATGTGTTTACGTTTTAAGCAAGGCTGGTATATATTATTGTTACAAAACAATGCATTTCAGTTATTAATGAAAAAAGGTCTTAGAGTATAGTTGCTCTTTAATAACCATGATTTAAGTATCTGGGCACAATCATCTCAAATTACTTCATTATGTACATCATTAAATTACAAACAGGCTTTTCTGTTGCACCAGCTTATAAAAATTGGGGTCTTGAGGCAGAGAGTGTCACAGATTTATAGAGCTATGATAGAAAACATGCTCACCTTCTCCATCACTGTGTGGTTCAGGAACTGTGAGCTCTGCCTCAAAGATCATTGGTAGTGAACTGACAGACTCAGGGCTATTAAAGAAAGACCCTCCCAGTTTCTTTGCACTGACTGTAAGGTGGTTCATGAACTGAACAGCTCTTCAGTCGTTCCATCACGAAATGTTGATTTTTGTTTTCAGTGTATTTATTATCATACAGTGCTGCTTGAGTGTCTGTGTGGATTATCTGTTGTTCCCTGTTGATACTGTAATGGTAGTTATTCTGTTCAGTTGGTCAGCAATAATGTTAGCTTTGTGTTATTGTTACAGTGTTTGTATCATGACTGTGTGTTCTGCATACAGATCCCACAGTAGCCCACATTGTTATATGTGTCTCAGTGAGGATTATATTTGAAGATTGTTCTGTAAAGAGTCAGTGCAGAGCTCAGACTCCTCAGTGTGGATGATTTAAGCCTTTATTTCTGCACTGAGAAAGAACTCTTACCTCCCTGTGCACATCTTCTGCTATAAGCTCTTTGTCGTGAGTCTTTCCACACGTTCACCCACTCATATGTGTAAATTATCATTGTTTGTAGTGAAGATAATCAGCTACAACTTCAAATCTGAAACAGATTTAGTTTATTTCTGTGGTAACAGCTGTGTGAACTTATTGACTGTCTAAAAATTACATTGCAAATAATGATCCAAGCATGACGTGCTGTTTTGGAGTAAGTAGAACATAAAAGATGGGCAGAGTGACCTCTGTTTATAATAGATGTGGGGTCTCAAAAGAAGATCCAAAAAGAAGATCTCTACCAAATTTCATATATGTTGAATGTTACTCAGAAAACAGCACATGGACATGACCTGTGTGTGTATCTCAGTAAACTAAGTGATTCCACAGTAATTGCTGTATTATTTATTCTCATCAAAATACACCAGAATTTTCATCTTAAAATCACTAAAACTTTATACTGGAACGATGCTGCTGGCCCAGTACAGCAGACTGGTTTTTCATGCTCAGGAGTTTTCTTGTCTGTTGGAGACACATAACTGAGTAAATGTACTCTGTGTGTATGATCGCTATTTAGGTTCTATCTAGGTGCTATCTAGAACCTAAATATAATATTCAAAGTTATTTATTGTATTATTGTGCACTCATACCTGCATAAAAATAACTGAGTTGGTGGGGTTTGGGGACCCCACAGCAGGATGTCACGTATGGCCCCAAAATGTTCAGAAGCATCTAATTTGTTATTGCAAACATACAGTCAGCTCCATAATTATTGGCACCCTTTGTAAACATGGGAGAAAAAAGATCATTAAAATGTCATTGTGCTTAGTTCTCAGTCTGACACTGACAATATGGGAGAAATCTAATTTAATTATGTTTTAAGAATTCAATTTAAAGTCTTCTTGAAACCTCTAGCTTAGCCAATCAGTATTTCATACCAGATTCAACTAAAACCATTTTTTAAATCATTTTTATTTATTTATTTATTCATTTATTTATTTATCTATTTATTTATTTATCTATTATTTATTTATTTATTTATTTATTTGAATTGTGGTTGGTCTACTTTTTTATTTAAGCAAGTAAATCATAAAATGTTACTTGATAGGTTGTAACTTGTTAATATATCATCTGTTGCAATTAAATAGATTACGTCTTTCTTTGAAAATAAATAAAAGCATATGAATACATATTTAGAAATCTACATACTTAGATTATGAGGTCAGACTTCCATAAGGGTCAGTTTTGTTCCATTGTTATTTAGTTTAGATGTCAGTGACCTTCCAGATGTCTGTCCTCCTGCTGTTACTTGTCAGATCTGTGCAGACAACACAGTTATTTATGTGCATGTAAATGATAAGCAGTTTTTAGATGTAGTGATACAGACACTGATTTCAGACAGATGAGAAAATCTTATTTACATCTGATTATGGAGAAAAACATCAGTATGATTCTGTAAGTTAGGCTGATGCCAATATTGATCCAGAAGTATTTGTACAAGAGAAGAAGTTTAGAGTTGTGTGAGTTTAAATATCTAGAGGTGAAACTGATTCACTGCTGACTTTTAATAAGCACATGTAGCACAAGTATTGATTTATTTGATTTAATTTATTATTCTCATATTACTTATTGTAAAACAAGCTGGACAAAAACATATAAGACTGCTCTTAAGCCACTTAAGAACACTTAAGACAGTATATAAACAAGCTTTAAAAGGCTTTGATAAAAAGTCAAATCAACATCATTATTGTAATATTTTAGTAAGTTTTAGTTTTAAAATCCTAAATGGTCTCATCTTTTTAGGGATTGGACAGTTTGGTTTAGTTTAATGTGCTTTGTAATGAAGCATTTTGAAACATTGCTTTGTGGTGTCTGTGTGAGACACTTTGTTTAGTTTTAGTTTTGCGTAATAATGTTATTTTACCATCAAAGTGCCCAGGACCTGCAGATGAACTGGCACAATTATGTTATAGAAATAATGATGTGAACAATAATAATAATAATAATAATAATGTTATTGATGTTGGGCTAATTGCAGATTAACTTTCCATCAAAGTGGAGAGCCTCAACCCATTATTATTCATAAAGAACTCAGCCTTTCCTGGAAGCTTGTTTTTAGGAAAACTTAATTGCATCACCTGTTTAAGATTCTTCCTAGTCTTAAATTGACCCATCCTAACTTTTCTGAACATTTTCCAAGTATCAACATATATAATACAATGAGTGTATATTTACAGAATTAATGAAGTTGATAAAATAAAAAATCAAACACACAGCAGTTTTGTAGTACTTTCACTTAAATACAGGTCAACTTAGATTAATAAATTACTACTTTCTGTATTTATTTGCATTTCATGCACTGTCTCAACTTCATAAAATTGGATTTGTACATTAGTGTGTGTCTGTGTGTGAGTGTTAGAGAAAAAGAGAGTACAGCCATTAGTGTGTGTGTGGATTTCTAAATTGTGTTTAGTGTGTAGTTTGTGTTTCTCATTTTTTCTTCATTTTATCTGCTGAATTGATGTTTGAGGTGTCAGTGTTTCTGATGGATCATCATTTTTCTCTCAGGCTGTGGAGGTGTGATCTCACAGAGAAAAGCTGTGCAGTTCTGTCCTCAGCTCTCAGCTCAAATTACTCAAGTCTGAGAGAACTGGACATGAGTGGGAATAAACTGCAGGATTCAGGAGTGAAGCTGCTCTCTGCTGGACTGAAGAGTCCACACTGTAAACTGGAGAAACTGGAGTGAGATCAGCACTTTCACTCATACACACACACACACACACACACACACACACTTTTCTATCTACTATTCATTTTTGCTGAGGCTGTTTTTGTGTGTGTGTGTGTGTGTGTGTGTGTGTGTGTGTGTGAGTGCGTGTGTGTGTGACAGAGATCCTGTTTTTCTTCTGTATTTGTGTGAGATGTTTATGAATGTTAATAAAGATGGAAAAGAGAGTATGTACATCAGTCTGTGTGAAAGAGAGTATGTACATTATTGTGTGTGTGTGAGAGTATGTACATTAGTGTGTGTGTGAGAGTATGTACATTAGTGTGTGTGTGAGAGAGAGTATGTACATTAGTGTGTGTGAAAAAGACAGAAAGTACATTGGTGTGTATATGTATGTTTTAATGATTGTTGTTTTTGTAGTTTGTTTTTAATCATTCTCTTAATTTTATCTGCTGAATTGATGTTCATGTTTGAGGTGTCTCAGTTTTGAGGTGTTCTGAGTGTTTCTGATAGATCATCATTTTTCTCTCAGGCTGTATAACTGTAATCTCACAGAGAAAAGCTGTGCAGTTCTGTCCTCAGCTCTCAGTTCAAACTCTTCAACTCTGAGAGAACTGAACCTGAGTGGGAATAAACTGCAGGATTCAGGAGTGAAGCTGCTCTCTGCTGGACTGAAGAATCCACACTGTAAACTGGAGAAACTGGGGTGAGATCATCACTTTAATTCCCACCCACACAATTTTTGACCTGTTCTTCTGTGTTTGTGTGTGTGTGATATGATGTTTGTGGATGTTAATAAAGATGTGAGTTTTTCTTCTTTTCTCTACAGCCTGTATAACTGCAGTATTACAGAAGAAGGCTGTGCTGCTCTGTTTTCAGCTCTGAAATCAAACCCCTCACACCTGAGAGAGCTCAATCTACTCTCCAATAAACCAGGAGAGTCAGGAGTGAAGCTGCTCTCTGATCTACTGAAGGATCCACACTGTAAACTGGAGAAACTAAAGTGAGTTACTGAATTACTGTCTCTGTACACATATTCACTCAGTGGATGATCTACAACATTTTAGAGCTCAACCTTCTCCATAAACACACACAGACACACAGATTGTTGTGTGTGATGGATCTCGAGGTCTGTATGAGGAATGAATCAGTGTGTTTAATACAGATTGTGTGGGGTTGTGTTGTTTGAGGTGTTCACTGAAGTGTTCTGATAAAGCTTCTCGTTTCTTTTGTGTGAAATGATTCATATTTGAATATGTGGTGTTTGTAGTTTTTTGATGTGATGCTATCCTGATGCCTCTGGTGCCTTTTGTCTTACTAAGAATGAAGAATTTCTTCATAGTCAAGTCAAGTCAAATTTATTTGTATAGCGCTTTTTACAACTGATGTTGTCACAAAGCAGCTTCACAGAAATCCATTAAGGACAAAGTTTTAACATGTAATGTAAATCCTCCAGGTGAGCAAGCCAGTGGCGACAGTGGCAGGGAAAAACTCCCTCAGAGCTGGGGAAGAAACCTTGGGAGGAACCAAGGCTCACAAGGGGGGAGTCATCCTCCTCTGGTCAAACTACCTACAAAATTATTATACTACTAATATTAATAGTAGTAGTAATAGTAGTAGTAATAGTTAGGAGTCCATGAAAACTTCAGTGTAGGGTGGGCAGCTAGTCCAAGGCAGGTGGCGGTAGCTGGGCAAGTGGCGGTGACTGGGGCGTGGGCAACTGGTCTGAAGCGGGTAGCAGGAGAGCTCAACAGACAATCATCCATCAGTGTCCGGCCGGACAGGTGGGCAGTCGTTTACTCGGAAAAAGGTAGGGAGATGGAGTTAGTTTTGTTCTGTATGGGTGTTTGTATAGTAATATGTAAAACATTTCCAGGGTGTGGCTAACGACTCCAGCAGATCTGACTATAACAGCTTAACTAAAAGGAGAGAACCAAAAGGACACACAGACACGGGAGCACCCTGAAACAATTTGGCATCCCTCCACTCCACCGTCCACAAACCTGAGTGATCGCGTGCGAGCGGCAGGACGACAGCACCAGCGTCTCAGTTTACTATAATTCCCTGTGTCCATGGACCCCTGGATCTGCTGCCTTTATCTAAGGGCAAACATTAACTACCAAAAGCTAAACAAGTGAGTTTTCAGCCTAGATTTGAAGATTGCGACGGAATCTGAGTCCCGAACATTTTCTGGAAGATCATTCCAGAGTTTGGGGGCTTTATAAGAAAAGGCTCTTCCCCCAGATGAAACCTTCTGAATTATTTTGGCGATATTGCGAAGATGTAAAAAAGCTGTCCTAGCTGTCAACACATTTGATGTGTTGATCAAATGATAAATCTGGATCAGGTATGACACCAAGATTTTTTTGCTGCTGAACCAGGTATAACTGGTAAGTCAGCGAGATTTAAAATTAAATCTGATCATTTATTTCTTGCCACTTTTGGACCCAGAAGGAGAACCTCTGTTTTGTTACTGTTTAGAGGGAGGAATTTACGCAACATCCAGCCTTTCACGTCTTTTACACAGTCTTCTATTTTCTTTAACCTGTATTTGTCATCAGGCTTGGCTGATATGTATAATTGTGTATCGTCTGCGTAACAGTAAAAGTTAATGCCATGGTTACTTATAACTGTGCCTAACGGTAACATGTATAATGTCCTAAAATAGAGCCTTGCGGAATTCCAAATCTTACTTTTGAATAATTGGAAGATAAATCGTTTACCTTTACGAACTGATAACGTTCCGTTAAGTAAGATTTGAACCACGATAGGGCTGTCCCTGTGATTCCAACCATGTTTTCTAATCTTTCTAGGAGAGTATTGTGGTCTATCATATCAAAAGCTGCGCTGAGGTCAAGTAGCACCAACAGGGATATATAGCCTTGATCAGAGGCAAGAAGAAGATCATTTGTTATCTTAACTAAAACTGTCTCAGTGCTGTGATGTGGCCTGAATCCAGATTGGAATTTTTCATATATGTGGATCTTATGTAGATATGAACTAAGTTGTTGGGCTACAGCTTTTTCTAAGATCTTAAATATAAATGGTAGGTTAGAAATAGGCCTGTATTTAGACAATAGGCTAGCATCAAGGTTTGGTTTCTTGATCAGAGGTTTAATAACTGCTAGTTTAAAAGCTTTGGGTACATGGCCCAGGCTAAGGGACGAGTTTACTATAGTTAAAAGAGGATTAATGATAATTGGTAGTACTTCTTTGAGTAATTTTGAGGGGATTGCATCAAGTGTGCAGGTTGTGCAATTTGCAGAGGAGATAATCTTCTCTAGTTCTAGCTGTGGGAGTGGGTAGAAAGTTTCAAACCTTTCTTCTGCAACTACGTAATGTTTTATATCAGCCATGTCAGATGACAGCCAAGTTGGATTTAATACTGTGGGTTGAATTTGTTGTCTAATATTTTCGATTTTATTATTAAAAAAGTCCATAAAAACTTCACTGGTGAGAGTCGCCGGAATTTGTGGTTCAGTACCTGCTTGATTTTTTGTAATTCTGAAAATCACACTAAACAGTACTCTAGGATTCTATTTATTATTCTTGATCAGCAAGGCCAGATATGTTGAGCGAGCTTTAGTGAGAGCATTTCTATACTCTATAAAGCTGTCCTTCCAGGCAAAGTGGAACACTTCCAGCTTGGTTGATCGCCATTTCCGCTCTAGTTTCCGTACTGTTTGTTTTAAGATACAGGTTTTATCATTGTACCATGGGGCGAGCTTTTTCTGTCTTATCCTTTTTATTTTAAGTGGTGCCACATTTTCTAAAGTAGATTGAAAGGTATTTTCTAAATAGTCGGTTAATACATCTAGCTCCATTTGGTCTGATGGAGTGGAGACTAGGGTTGTTTGTTCTGGAAGGTTTTCTACGAATTGTAGGGCGGTAAATGGTTTTATTGCGCGCTTTGTAGAATAGCGAGGGGACGTACATATATTATGGCTAAGATGTAGCTCAAAAGAAATTAGGTAATGGCCGGAGATTACTGAGGTTTGTGGTAGGATATTAAGCCTGTCTATGTTAAGACTGAGTATCAGAACTAAATCTAAATTGTGACTACAGTAGTGGGTAGGCCCTGTTACATTTTGGGTAATACCAACAGAGTCTAGGATTGTAGTAAATGCCTTTTTTAATGGGTCATCTGCCTTCTCAAAATGGATATTAAAATCTCCTACAATCATTACTTTATCATTGCACACAGCTAGGTTTGCAGCGAAATCACTAAATTCTTTTAAAAATTCTGAGTAGGGTCCTGGTGGTCTGTAAATGTTAAATAATCAAAATGTGTTCTGTTTTGTGCCCGGATTTGTAATGTTGATGGAAAGAACCTCAAAAGAAGTGAAGGTGTCACATTGTTTCTGATATCTAGGGTATTTTGGTAGATTACACATAATCCACCTCCCTTGCCTGATAATCTTGGGCTGTGTTCATAATTATAACCTGTAGGGGTGGCTTCATTTAGTGCTGAATATTCATCCTGTCTAACCCATGTTTCGGTGAGACAGAAAACGTCAAATTTATACTCACTTATAATTTCATTTACGATGACTGCTTTTGAGTTTAGTGATCTTATATTTAGTAACCCAAATTTTTGAATTGAGGTGTTGCTGCTATCATCTAAATACGATTTAATATTGATTAGGTTGTTGAAATGGGCTGATTGAGTTTTTTTACATTTAGATTTAGATTAAATTCAGGGCAAAGACACAGTCTCAATACAGTGGAACCTAGGTGACGCCTCAAGGCGGTTCGCAGACGGTCGGTTTAGCCTGTCTGTCTGCGGCCTGGTCCCGGCTCTGGATTGTCAGCAGCTGTTTACACTACTCTGCCGACTAACTAAAAGACTATGTGCTATGCTGCAAGAAAGTAAGGCAGCACCCTCCCGCGTGGGGTGGACACCATTCCTACCTATAAGACCAGGCTTGCCCTCGAAATGTAACCAATTATCTAATAAAGCCCACTTCATTTTCTGAACACCACTTGGACATCCAGCAGTTTAACGCTGAAAGTCTGCTGTAGGCTTCAGCCCCGCACCACATTGGGATGGGACCAGAGCAGATTACGGCATCGGACATCGTCTGGGCCAGTTTAATCACCTCTCTAATATTACCCTTAGTTACCTCAGATTGCCGCAGACAAATATCATTGGCCCCTACATGGATGACTATCCTCAAATATCTCTTATTAGCTAACAGTCTAAGGTTACCACTAATGTCCGGCGCTCTGGCTCCCAGTAAACAGCTAACTGTTACTGCTGGCGCCCCTAAAGGAGTAGCTAATTTCACGTGTCGAACTATCAAGTCTCCTATAACCAGAGCACTTTTAACAGGCTCCTCAGCTTCGCTGAGCGGGGCAAACCTGTTTGACACATGAATCGGAAGAGCGTGGTGTTCTGGTGGGCTAGCTTTGGCCTCAGTGTTAGCATTAGCCTTAGCTTTCCGGCTATGTCGCAGAGACGTCACCCATTCACTCCTCTGTGAGGGCTCTAACGCCGGAGTCGAGGGGGTGCTGACTCTCGCTAAGGCACCCGGGGCTGCTAGCGGTGAATCTCGCTGTCTGTCCCTTAATAAATCCCGGATGTGCACCTCTAGCTGGTCCACCTTATCCACCAGGGAGCTAACTAGCTGGCATAAACACAGCCACTATCATTATCACTAGAGATGGAAAAGGGGATTAAACTAAACGTGCCACACTCTGAGCAGGCAAAGAAACCAGCAGTAGCCATGATATTGCAGGAACTTACCGCTTTTGGTTGATTTAGGAACTTAGCAGGACGATAGCAAGAAGATAGCACTGGGTCGGCGGTCTGACACACAAGACTAAATCAACGTTCTAGCTGAGGCTCCGACAGCTGTCTTCATGAGTGAGTCTATGAGAGAATCAGAGCTGTTTATTGGTTTATTAGTGTTAATGAGGCTGTACTGTTTATCTAGTGATGGTGTTTATCCTGATTGTGTCTGTGGGTGGAGTCTGAGTGCTGACTGTGATCAGTGTGTGTTCATGTCTGATCATTCTGTCCTGTTTCCTGTTTTACAGGATCTGAACCAACAAACACCTGACCTGGTCTGAGTCTCACACACACTGGGGGTCATGAGGAGAGGATGAAGTCTTATAGAACACACACACACACACACACACACAGTGTGTGATTCTACATGGTAATGTGTGTGTTTTCGGTCTTTATTGGTCAAATCTGTGAACACGGCTGCGGCACAGAGCTGTGTGTTCATCAGTTCCTTCTGTGGCTGTATAGAAGCTTCTAAACACCTGCTTTAAAAATGTACATAAGAGTTTAAGACAGATTGGGCTGTTAAGCAGCTTGAATAGGTGAACTAAACAGTAACAGATCAATATCAGAGAAATGAAGAGCTTTTTAAATATAACATCATTGACGTACATAGAATGTAGTTTTTGTCTGTCAGAAACTGAAGACTTTCAGTCGTGATGTTCAGTTTCAGATGATACTTCCTCACTACTGAAGGTCCCTGAAATGTAGGGCCGCCCTTTTTGCCATGTGGACGTCTTAGCTTTGACTAAGAGTCTGAAAATGGTGCCTCTGGACGTAGATTGGACTGGATCAGGCAAATAAACCATATTCTATTTTTCCATAAGATGTTATTTTATTACATATTGCTTCTGTTATGCCAGATTCCTGTGATTATCTTGATTATGAATAATAGTCATGTCATGTAGAGTTTAATTCCAGTGTCATTTGTGTCAGTAGAAATATTTAATTACAATAAAATACACAGACTGATTCTTACCATGTAGTGTATTTCTGTATTTTATGATCTTGATGAAACCTTTACTCACAGTGAATGTATTAGAGGTAATGAGATCCAAGAAGAAATATAGTTTTATTACAGCCTGTAAAATATTTCTATAATCAGCATATAATTACTTGTAGGAAACAATAAGTAATTACAATAAAGATTTAATTTTTCTACCATATATAACGATAACACAACATTTTTTAGTGTCGTCTTAATGATTAATCTTGGCAGAGAGAGTTTTTTACACTTTTTCTCCACTGTGTGTTCAGTTTCATTACTACACCTATCTTTCCCTGAAGTAACTATGCACTGAAACCCTCTTTGTGACCCTCTGTGTTGTTTTTAAGAAATTAAAACTATTTTAAAATATAAATATGTTGTTGATAATAAGCTGATGTGGTGATTATGTCCAGATCAGATTTAGATCCTGAATTGAGCCTGACCACCTGCCACAGTCGTCCTGCACAGTAGAAGATGTGGGTTCGATTTCACCTCAGGCCTGTTGACCTGTTACAACTTCTAAAATCAATCTTCAAATAAGATCTATTGATCACTGCATTAATCAGATCCACTTACATTCTGAAAACGCTGATGGAAAGATCTGTTAAAGTGCTGCTGTGTAGAAACACAAGAGAGACGTGTAAGTTGTTTAGTCTGAAAGGTGGGATTGAAGGAATTTGTAAGTTGCTTAATGTGAAGAGGAGAACATCTATTATCTGACCTGTAAAAGTTACTCTTTATTTACTTTTTAAAACAGAAAGTAATTCATTTCTGTGTGCGGCTCTGTTTTTTCATCTGGTTACAGCAGCTGCAGGCAGAGTGATCCACCATAGAGTCTGTCAGGTACACTGTCCAGCAGGGGGAGCCACAGCCCACCTCAACCCCTCACAGCCCCTCCTGGAGCTTCACTCTCTCCCACTGATCAATAAAACTCACCCTACTGATCTGGAGTGAGAGCTGGGAGGCTGTAGGAACGCTGCTGTGAGTTTCCTCACTGGTCATGTTGCTGCTGCAGGATTTCTCTCTGTAAACTGTGATAAAGACCACAGGAGAATCAGCTGGGCTTCATTCAGTGATCCACTCATTACACTGTTTTTTACTCACACTTTATCCCTCAGAATCAACACAGAACCTGTTCTTATACAATACCATCCCATCATGATCCATTTCAGACTCCATAAGTCTTTAATCAGCATCATTAGTCTATAAACTGAGTCACTTTAACATCAGCTTAGTCTATTAAACTCACAGCACTGTGACTCTGACACACTGACAGTCAGCTCAGGATATTAAACTCACATCCTGGAGGGCAGCAGCACTAAAGGAGGAAGTGAAACCAGCCCCCCCACCCAGCTGAACACAAACAAGCAGTTTAACCAGTAAAACAGTCAGAGAGAGAGAGAGAGAGAGATCAGTGGGGTGAATCTCAGATTTGCATTAACAGGCCTGAGTCATGCACTTTCTCCCAGAATAGAGCAGCACTTTCAGCAGATGTTCAGTTTCCCTCCTTCTCTCAGCCGTCCACTGTCCAGCTGACCAGTGCCCCCTGTGGAGAGTATCCAGACAGCAGGCAGAGCAGTGAGGCTGAACCCTCGGACAGCTGCAGAGAGGAGGGAGGAGCAGAGAAACAGAGGGCTTCACTGTGGAACCAGCTGGAGACGAGAAACAACAGCACACATGATTAAACACAAACAATTAAACATATTTACTAGTTATTCTTTATGAAGCTCTCTGAGTGTAATTTTTATTTATTTAGTAAAATCAGTTCAGCCCATGTTCTGTTCTCATATTGTTCAAATGAACAGACTTTGTTACCTAAAACAATATTTATATAAGCTATAAGTCATAACAGTTTTTTACTTTAAATTATTATAATTAAGTAAAAATTAATAGATAATCAGACTTCATACTTTTTAATATAATCTGTATTTAATCATAAAAAGCAGCTGATTGCAGAATAAAGACAGATTGAGAGTCATTATATGGATTTTATCCTGTCTTCCTTTCCTTGGATTTCTCATCAACAAAACAAATTAGAGAAAAATCAAACTTTTAAACTTCATTAATGGATTAATAATTAATAAATATATATTAAGTACTTTTTTGAGAAAGTACAAGTTGTGGTATTTAATAGTGAACTGTAACTTTAATAAAAGTTTGAATCAACGTCCTACAGAATGAAAAATATGAACATCTAACAAAACAAAAATAATTTTCTCATTTTCTAATACGGTCTGTTTTGTCATGACTGTTTACAGTAGAGATACTTACTAGAGTCATTTCCATAGAGAGAGCTGACTTTGCATTATCAGCACATGCTTCAGTGCTCTGGGAGAGTTTATAGTCCTGTGAGTTTAACACTTCATGACTGAGAGCTGCTGCCCCACAAACTTCACCCACAGCAGACATGACTTTGACCACCATCTTCATCTGGACTCTGATCTTCTGGACTCAAGGTAGTTTTTAACTATCCATGGGAAACAATTTTTACAATGAATAATGAATTATTTAATATTAACTATTTTATTTTACTCAGAATCCAGAGGTCAGGCGACTGTGACTCAGACTCCTGCAGTGAAATCTGCTCTTCCAGGAGAAACAGTCACCATCAGCTGTAGAACCAGCTCTGCAGTGTACAGTGACAGTCATGGTCAGCGTTTAGCCTGGTACCTGCAGAAACCTGGAGAAGTTCCTAAACTCCTGATTAAACTGATTAGCAGTAGAGAGTCAGGAACTCCAGCTCGTTTCAGTGGCAGTGGATCTGGAACTGACTTCACTCTGACCATCAGTGGGGTCCAGACTGAAGATGATGGAGATTATTACTGTCAGAGTTATCATAGTGGTGTGTTCACACAGTGATACAGAGCCGTACAAAAACCTCCCTGAGTCAGAGACACAGAGGCTGCACTGCTGCAGCTGAGACCTACTGCAGGTGCTGAGGGGGAGGATGTGATACAGCACAATCACACACTCTGTGGAGGAGAGGAAACACACCACACTAACACACAACTCAACACACACATCTATAAATAAGCACAAAGCAATAATGCACACAGCATTTCAGCTCCACTTCTATGAGAGGAGTAGTTTAGTGGAGCTGGAGCTCATTCTAGTCCTACTGCTCATGTTTTTTTGCCACTCTCTTATTAGATCATAGTTCTGGAAATCATGTTCTTCTTTGGTTCACGTACATAAAAATACATAGTGCACCTTATTTATTCATAAAAATATTAAAGATTACAAAACGGATAGTTCTACTCCTAAAATCTGATTGGCTGAGCTGCGTTCAAAGCCATTGTAAAATCCACAATATAGTACAGATATGAGCACCTCACAACTCTGTATCACTGCACCACAGCACAAAATACCCTTGTGCTGTAATGGAATAATCTTTGACTCTAATGCTGCCGAGTGTACTCATGAAGTAAGAACCTGTTTTTGTTTTAACTGAGGGGCTGAAAACCTATGTTCTTAACTAGAACTAGGCTGGTCAGCTAGCTAACAGGTTAAAAGATAGCAAACAGTCTAAACAACTCCGTCATTAACATTTAATAATGAATTAAAGTACTTACTGTATGATTAACTGTACAACAGCAGTATAAAAGTCTAAAAAATGACACTTCAAATTACTGCTCACTTCAAATATCTGTATTTCTGACAGAAGTAGCATCAACCCTCACTCAGTCCCAAATGGCTCTATACTCCATAGCTAAATAGTGTGCTGTGTAACATTAAGCTTAGAAATTCTAGCTTCTGCTGAATTTCTGCTAGACCATTTCTAACGATGTTTTGCATTGTTGAGGTGCAGGAGTCATGTAGGGAGCAGAGAGCTGTTTGAGATTCAACCCAGTGTGAGAAGAGTGGCGTCGTCAGACTGGCAGACTGGTGGCAATTTAATGACCAAAAAGTCCTTATAAACTGAAAGCTTTTGTATTAAACAGTGCTGTGTTATCATATGATCACTGTTATACGATAGTTTAGTTTTAAAAAATCATGAAATGTTTAGAGTTTACAGTGACTGACAACCAGACGTTCTTCTCTGCATTCAGCGGTCAATGATACCACACTCTAAAGGAACAACAATTCTTAGTGGATTACTTGTTTATGTCGATTATTTTTAATAATAACTTAAAGAATGATATAAAACACTGTGTATCTTAATATCTTTTATGTTGGCCGCTGTTTTATAAAAGCAATAAGCCACTCGAGGCAGTGCGTTACTGCGATTTTGCCACGGGGAAGGGAGTTTTAGGCACAAATAACACCCTTCCTGGGATAAAATCACAGTATCCCACAGCCTCTCGTGGCTTAGTGCTTTAATATTCTCTCTGAAACTCTGATTTGGACTTTCATAATGAGATCTGTTCCTGATGGATCAGAGAGCATTCCAAGGTCTGTCCTGCTGGCTCAGAGCTTTAAAACTCAGCATGGATCCAAGATCAGAGAAAAACAATGAAAAAATCTGTTAATCATAGATTTCTTAATAGTAATAAGCTAAGCAAACTTCAGTTCAGCAACTTCTGAAAAGACCTCTGAACTGATCTTTTAGATTGTCTGTATGTGAGCAAAAATACTAAGTTTTAGGAGGTGGTGAGTTTATTTTTGGTACAAAAATGGCCAAATTCCTACAAATTTTAAAATTCTGTTAGAATTTACATCCCAAATAATGACAAATCTGAGTAGATTAAGGTCTTTATACAGCATAAAACGTGACTGTCTCATATAAATACTTTGTAATCAGTCAATAAAGGCAAAACAAAAACATAAAATTAGCATTGAGTTTAAAAGACGAGTGTAGATGACTAATTAATTAATGAATTCACTCATTTCATAGTTGATTAAATAAACCTATATCTATACACACTTAACTGAAAAGTATTTTTTGACAAGAACTAATTGTAACTGTTGTCCAAATCCTGATGAGAGAGTGAAATAAAAGGTTCTTTCACCAGGCTGTGCACAATCAGTAAAAGAAAGAGAACGAGAGAGA